GCTGATGTTTAGGATGGGATGATGGGGGTGATTGCGTGTGGAGACGGCTGATGTTTAGGATGGGATGATGGAGGTGATTGCGTGTGGGCACTGCTGATGTTTAGGATGGGATGATGGGGGTGATTGCGTGTGGGCACGGCTGATGTTTAGGATGGGATGATGGGGGTGATTGCGTGTGGGCACGGCTGATGTTTAGGATGGGATGATGGGGGTGATTGCGTGTGGGCACTGCTGATGTTTAGGATGGGATGATGGGGGTGATTGCGTGTGGGCACTGCTGATGTTTAGGATGGGATGATGGGGGTGATTGCATGTGTGGGCACTGCTGATGTTTAGGATGTGATGATGGGGGTGATTGCATGTGGAGACGGCTGATATTTAGGATGGGATGATGGGGGTGATTGCATGTGTGGGCACTGCTGATGTTTAGGATGGGATGATGGAGGTGATTGTGTGGGACCACTGATATTGTTTGGTATAGGACAGGGGTAGGCAACCTCGGCTCTCCAGCTGTGCTGAAACTACAAATCCCATAAGGCATTGCAAGCCACGGAGGCAGAAGCATGATGAGATTTGTAGTGTCAGCACAGCTGGAGAGACAAGGTTGCCTACCCCTGGTATAGGATGATGGGAGTAATTGTGAGCATGCACTGATGACATTTAGAATGGGATGATGGGGGTAATTGTTGGCAGGCACCCTTTACCAGAAATATGTAAATTAATCCCGGAGGATAATTATCGGCACCTCCTAAATGATTTATCTCCCGGTGAGCGATCCACGCCGAGAAATGACACCGCCGAGGATTATATACACCCCAGGGAGGGATAATGCCGGAGATTTACACCCATCAGCCATAACATTATCACCATCCACCTAATATTGAGCGCAGGGCTGCAGCTGACGATTATTTTCATGGTCGATTAGTTGCCCGATTTATTTTCAACTAATTGGTTGCATTAAAGGAGAAGTATGAGGTCAGGGCTTTTCCCCATAGTTCTCCAGGGTAACGGGGGGACACAAACTAGCGTCCTCCCGTCACCCCAGGCTCAGTATATAGGGAGCTACAGGTATATAATCGCGGTATACTGAGACGCCGGAGCGGATCCCGACAATTATGCCGGGATCCGCCCAGCTGCGTGAGTGACAGCTGGCTCCTCCTATCTAGAGGCAGAGCCAGCTGTACCCGCCCAGTCAGCGCTGGAGGATCGGAGGGGGGAATCCAGCCCCTCCCCTTTCACGGCAGAGAGCCGTGACAGGATCGAGAGGTGAGCGAGCGCCGGTATGCGTTCCCTCACTTCCCGATCTACTGAGCCGAATCATAGTTCTTCTTTAAAAAATCTGGAGAATTTGGAGGCGGAGTCATCACCTCAGACTCGTTGTGTTCTCCAAACCATTCTTCCCCCTCCATGTGTGCAGTGTTTCCGGGCTCATTATCCTGCTGAAAGAGGCCACTGCCATCAGGGAGCACCGTGTCCATGAAGGTGGGGGGTCAGGGACAATGTTTAGGTCGGTGTCAGAGTGGCCCCCCCCCTCTTCCAGGTGTAATATTTGTGTGCCATGTGATCGCCGGTACATTCCAGCTCTGCCTTGTCGCCGGTCCGCGTTGAGTCAGCCGCCGTGAAGTGACTCACCTGTCAGTCGGAGGCGAAGATCTCGCACGTTCTGCAGGTGTTGCAGAGTCAGTGCTGAGATGTAACCCTTTACAGTGCGGGCCCCGGTGCTGTGCAATTCAGGGGCTCTGATTTTCTCTTCCTCCAGGACGGTGTTTGTTTGTTCTTCTAGCAGACTGTAGACATTTTTCAGCATGCTGGCTGATATCCGTCCAGCATTACTGATTGTGATTGAGGCAAAGCTCCTGCTCCCTGGTGACTGGAGAGTTCTAGCTGTTACTCAACAGGAGGCGTGCCAGATCTCTGCAGACAGCCTACTGCTTCCACATAGAGAACAAGGCTCCTCTCCTGGACTGAAATTGCTTACTCTGATTTCACTGCATGCTTCTCACAATGGGTCTGTACACCCGCTGTGCCCATTATGAGGGGCCCCCACCATCCCTGTGCTGAGTTCCCGGGTCTGTACACCCGCTGTGCCCATTATGAGGGGCTCCCACCATCCCTGTGCTGAGTTCCCGGGTCTGTACACCCGCTGTGCCCATTATGAGGGGCCCCCACCATCAATTTATACTGGATTGGCATGCGTTGTGGTCAGGTGACCCCTGATGGACACTGGTCTTGGTGGCACCGTTCAGAGTCCTCTTTCTATATTCGCGGTGTGGACCATCAACTGGTGCCACTCAGGATGTTGATACAGACACACAAGGCTTGGGACATTCTATCCGGGTCTGGATCATTGCCACCGGGGGGGGTGCACTGGCATCATGTCACAGCGGCGGGG